GGGACTCAATCCTGACATTCTGTTAGAGAGCTTGTCATGTGTTGCCTGGCTGCTATGAGTAATAAGGGAGGGCGCTGCAAGACCACTGCTCCCCTGGGGTGACCTGATAACAGTCCTAATATTTTAAATGTATACAAGACCTCCCGGTTTACTAAACATTTCCTTCCACTGACAAGGTGAGGACCAGTGTCATCCGTCGTGCCATCAGATATATGCTGGGCCTTTTCTGCTACAAGGAGGAATCAAGAGGGTCAGCCTCTCAGGCACGCTTCTGGGTAGAAATGGATGTCAGGGATTCCCACCAACTTGTTGCTAAGGGAACTTGTGTGAGTGCACTAAAATCAGCAGCCCTGCCCACCGCTTTAAAGTCCTGTGGAGTGGCCACTTGACCAGGCCAGTGCACAGTGTAGAGAGGACGGTGGCTCCCGCTGGGCAGTGGCAGACAGGACTAGTGATGACCACAGGTAGATTTCCAAATGGCAGGAGAGCTTCCGAGGCAGGTCACAGCCTCTAAATCAAAGGGCAGGATGACTTAGCAAAGACGGCTTAATTTCATCCCCAATTACACATCCGGAGGGAGCCACAGCCCTAATTACCTCTTCTGGAACAGAGTTGATGTCTAAAAAACACTGGCATGAAGGTCGAGGTCACACCTGTTTTAGTTGATTTTCATGTTACAGGCAAAAAAGGCCCTCTATTAAAATCAATTTGGGTACCACCCCAAGCATCTATTAAATCTCAGGCATCGCCGATACACCATGTCTATGAATCCTCAGAGCCCGGACTCAAAAATACTGCTATATGGCAAGAGCTTGGTGAACAGGCAAATCCGATTTTAAATTCCAGCAGCATATTAATTGCATTATCTCAATAAAGAAACCTCTGGAGTCTTTAAAAAAAAAATCTCCTAAACAGAGCAGCCAATCTCATGCACTCTATCTCCCTCTGGGGGCGCTCTCTCTCTCTCTCTCTCTCTCCCTCTCTCTCTCTCTCTCTCTATCACCCTAGCCTGATACCCCCAGACCCCCTCTAATGGATCCTCTGTGTCATGTGTGTCAAAGTCTGAAAAATGGCCCTCTAGGAACCAAAATCCTGATGTTTCCACAGCTGTACCCGCCTCCCTTCCCCGTCACCTGGAGACTGGTACGGTGACTGAAAACAGAACAGGCAGAAATGAGGTACCAGTCCCGAGTCTGAGCCTTCAGGCCTGGCAGGTCAGGCCTGTGTGTTCTTGGGGTGCGGTGGAGTGGGGTGGGGTAGTTACACTGTATGGGCTCCAACTACCCTGATCTTTCCATGAGGAAAGAGCCCAGAGGAGGACACAGCACACAGAGACCAAGGCCACATGGCGAGCATCAGGGCACAGACAGGGGAAGGGAGAGCCACTTTGGAGGTCCTGCCCAGCATAGCCGCTGGCCTCCAGTTGCAGCCCACATCTAATTACACCTAACAACTAACAGCAATCCGGACAGGACTGTTTAGCAGAGCCCCAGCCACCTACAGGCACACTCCTGCTGCAGGGTCACATGGCCCCCCACGAGAGACAGAAAGGAGAGGCAGGGACAGAATTCAAGGGTCAGCTGCACCCCTGCCCGTGCCACCAGCAATGCAGGGCCATATCATGTTAGCTTCCTTCTTACAGTTCTGGAGGCTACCAGGTCCAACATCGATGCCTGCATCTGGGGGGCAGGAGCGTCCAGCTGCCCCATCCCAAGGCAGAAGTCAGAAGGGCAGGAGACCAAGCTCACAAACTCCTCGTGTGAGGCTCCTTCCTAATTACCTCCCAACACTGCTGCTCTGGGAACCGAGTTTCCAACACATGGAACACTTCCCCATCCCAGCAGTACATGGAGGTTCTGGACCTTCCACCAGGTCATGAATACCAATAACAGTACTCGGCAAAGGAAACCTCTGTTGTGTTTGTATTCCAATCAATACTCCTTCCAAAGTATTTCCTAAGAACTCTGGGAGTTTCTGAAGATGTCTTTATTACAATATTCCCTAGGTACCTAGTTTTTCTCTGCAAAGTAAGGGCAAGCATGAGGAATCCCTCGGCCCAGGTCAGCCAACCAGCCATGAGACCTGCCCAGCCACGGAACTTTTTCTAGGACCATGTCCGACTCTCCAGTTCCCTGGCATGGAGAGGCAGACTCTTTCCTCCATCTACCATCTGCAGGAGCTATTTCTGTACCCTGGTAGAATTCTCTCCACACATGGGAACTCCAGGTCAATACAAGTGACCACAGGCCTGGCTTGGACCTGGCAAACACGTCCTCGGTCTCCAGTTCTGGTCTCAGGTCCCCTTCATTAACTCAGCTTCTGCTTTGCATGTCTTTCAAGTGATGTGAGAATTTCTGTTCCTCTCCTCCTTCAGATTCCTCAATATTCTTCTAGCTGCTCTGATCGAAGTGCATTTATATCCCAAAGCCAGCCGTAGGCCTGGGGTGTTAGGCCTTGTTATAGTTTGGATCGTGTGTCCCCCAAAGGCCCACATGGTCAGACCTCAGTCCTCAGCCTGTGGTGCTGCTGGGAGGTGATGGAAGCTTTAGGGTGCAGGGCCTCGGGGAGGAAGGTAGCACATCCTTGAGCAAGTGTGAGGACTTCAGCCCCTTCTTGTGTCTTTCTCTTTGCTTCCTGGGCCACCATGAGTCCACCACGCTCTCCCCACCACCATGTTCTGCCTCACCACAGGCCCAAAAGCAATGAAGCCAGGAGACAATGGATCGCAGCCTCTGTAAGCCCAAACACACCCTTCCTTATTTCAAGTTGTTTATCTCGAGTATTTTGTCACAGCAATGGAAAGCTAACTGACCCAAGGCTCACTCCTTTTCTGCGGGGAGCTGGCTCCTCTGAGGTCTAGGATCCCTATAGCCAGAGTCCTTGGGCCTCACAGGACCCATCATATATCCCTGTTTGGGCTGAGGTTCACAGGAGTCCACTTTCTGGAAGTCAGGTATACGCTGTATCATTTTGCTGATTTCCTAGAGTCTATTACTGCTGCCCACAAAGTCCCAGTAACAAGCCCTCCATGAAGAGGGCCTGGTTATATGGGCTGGCTGGCCCCAGAGGAAGACCTAGCAGACCTCTCAAAAGTTAGCTCCAACTTCCCTTCAGGGTGGCATCTGCCATGAAGCCCCTCATGGATCCCCTCTCCATCTGAACAAGAAATCCTTGGAGGGTCCAATTTATACACACTTTGGTCAGTGCCATATACTTCTCCACCGAGATGGGGTTTCCTGGAACTTCCACCAAAGGAGCAGGGAGCACGCTAAAGATGCCATCCCAGTTGGGTACCCACTACCTCTCCCTGCCCTAGAAGACTGCTGTCGTCCATGCTTGATCCTGCTTCCCTGCCAGCTCTCCTGGTCTCCTGAACTCCATGCCCCAGCAGGCTTGAGGCCAGGAACGCCACTGGCTACATCCCATGGAGTTTACACTTCCCCAACCACTGGGGGCTGCTCTGCCTTCCGGGCTTCTGTGCTAACTCCAGCCTCTGAGCAGCCCCGCCCGGACTCGACCAATCTCAGAATTCTATAATCCCATGGCAGCCCTTCCCAGCAGCCACTCCTTGGGAGCTCTGCCTTCTCCCACTCCCCAAGTCCATCTCTGAGGACCCACTCCACCCACAGGGACTGGCATACCCTTTGTCTGCACCCAGCCCTAAGCCTTAAGGAAGAGCTTGCTCAGGTAAGAGATGCCCAGACCTCAGGAACCTGATCCACAATCCTGTGTCAGAACCACATCCGACTGGGGGTGCAGAGCAGCATTCAGTGTTAGCCCATGGGCTCAGGCCCACCTCCGCCTTCACCTGTGGGAAAACCACCACTCACCATGGAGTCAAATTCAGGGTTAGCAGCGGAGACTTCCACTGCTCCCAGCTGTAGCTGCCCTCGAGCCAGCCTGACCCTCGTAGCCTCCTCTCAGGGACACTGTCACCCACGTGGACCTCACGGGCTGCAGTAACAGACTGCTTCACTGGCCTTTCAGCATGGCTGAGCCTAGGCAGCCCTTTCCCAGAGAGGCCTAAGGATACTGCTTAGCAGCCTAAACTGCTCACCTAATATGCAAGCATGACTCCTTGAGTCCAGACTCAGTTTGCTTAGCTAGGCAATGGGGCCAGCACCATTTCTTTCATGGGGGAGCTGTTGATAATCAACAGCATAGTGAAGTGCTCAACCATCAGCTGCCCTTCTCCATGGTTCCACCCATACGCGGGCACTTCTGCAGCAATGTGCCAGTCGGGAGTGTTTGGAAAGGTCCTGGGCACTGCCACATCCAGGCCTGTGCCAGCTGACAGTTCCGTCTTGTCCCTTGGGTCTGGTCCACCTTTCCTCCCCCATCCCAAGGAAAAGCAGCAGAGACACTCCATTCTTACAAAGACCCCCATCCCAGCCTCACTCCCACCCAGAACAACAGAGTGGGCTGCGTCCAGCGAGGGACACTCCTCACCCCACAGACATCCACCAGCCAAACGTCCACGTCAGTATTTTCCAGGAAAATGTGGCCACCAGAACTCACAAAATATGTGTCTCTCCCAGGGCTTCGAGCTAGAAGACAGAAGGCTCCAGATCCTCCTGCCATAAGCAACACACTTGCTGTCTTTTTCCTCTAAATCTCAAGAAAGGCTAGAAAAAAACCAGGGAACACACCTGACCCTTTCCTGCAGGTGCAGCTGCTCAAAACACAGAAGCAGGGTTCCCCAGAACAGCAGCCCAGGGGAGCTTATTCCGGCCTCTCCTCTACAGCCTCTAAACTTTGCTCCACTGCTACTGATCCATTTGCAGGGAGTTTGCTGTTTCCCTCTGAACCTGCAAGAAACATAACATGCTTCTAGGAGGCCAGGCATTTGGTGATGTCCCCAAAGGACACCCCTGGGGCAAACTCACCCTATAATTATTTCACCCCATTCCTCCTCCCCAGCCCTCCCACCAGGAGCCTGCAATGGAGCGATTTCATTCAAAATTTGCTACTTTGTTCCTTGTGAACTAGGTCGAGTAAAATCATAACTACATTCAGTCAGCTCAGGATCTGGGCAAGGTTTTTTTGTTTTTTGTTTCCTGTCTTTTTTTTTTTTTTAATCAGAATGTTTAATTGGAAGCAATTGTTAATATAGTCTTTACAACAATCCTAAATCAGGCAGCCTTTTAGTAAAACGGACTATTAAGTCACCTTCCCCAACATACACACACTACACCACACACACACACACACACCACTCCACACAGAGGACTTTAGAAAGTTCGGGCCTCACTCAGCCTGTGACAGCGAGGCCTCCCAATTGTCACCCAGACAATAAACAGCCAGCTGACTTGGCTCAGCAGGTCCTATGTGGCTTTGGGGCCACGCCAGAAACCTAGAACAAGCTACATTCAGGTTAGAAGCCCATGAGGGGGTGCTGAAGCCCGGGGGCTATCGCACCCTTGGATCCAGCCTGCTAATGGGACTCAGGCTGGTGGCCAGCAGAGCTCAGCTGACCTGCAAGTGTGCGGCCCAGAGGCGGCCAGGCAGCCTGACCCCCGGCAGCACGGTCGTGCACGGGTCTGGAGGCTCCGAGCTGGAGAAGCGGGGCTGCAGCGCCCCATCTTCCGTGCGTCTTTTCAAGACCACTGGCCAGCCCTAGGCAGCCACCGCCACTGCCTGCACGGCGCCCGCCGCTCCAGAACGCACACAGGCAACAAGTTCTCGCTTCCTCTGAGCCGCTGAGATGTGCTCCGGAGGCCGGCGCGAGGGGAGCGCTTGCAGCCAGTCTGCGCCTCGAGGGGCGCCCGCTGCCCTGGCCACCTCCGGGGCTGAAAAGGTCAGAGCGGCAGAGGCTGCCCCGGGAGCGCCCCTTGCACAGGGACAGGGACGGTCGCGCATCCCGGGCATGGGCAACAGGTACGTCCGCGCCACGAGAACCGCAGGCCGGGGGTGTCCCCGCCCGGACCCCCTCGCCCCTCACCTCCAGCAACTGCACATAGCTCGCCGGGAACCAGCCGCGGAGCCCGTCCTCCTTCTCGCCTTCCCACCAGCCGCCGTCCGGGACCTGCAGCAGCGTGATCAGCTCGCCCGCGGCGAAGCGGAGCCCCTGGCTGTGCCGCTCCCCGGAGAAGGGGTACAGGGTCCGGCAGCGGGCGCCGGACATGGCCTTGGCGCCTGGGCTCACAGCGCAGCCTGCATCCCTGCCGAGCCCCGCGGGCTGGCCAGCGGCTCCGCGGGGTCCCAGGCGCCCGGCGCTCCGGGCTCCCGCGCTCTGGGCGCGCGCCGTCTCGGGGGTGCGCGGGGGTCCCCGGGCGGGCAGGGCGCGCGCGGGGCGCGCTGGAAAGCAGACTCGCTGGCTCGGCCGAACGCGCGGCAACGCCCCCGGGCCGGGCGGCTCGCGGATCCCAGCTCGGGGCGGGGCTCAGGGGGAGGAGACCCAGGGCCCGCGGGCTCCGGAGACAACTTCCCGGGGACGCGGGGCGCGCGCTGTCCCCGCGAGAGCCCGCCCGGGCCGGGGTCGCCCTGGCACGCGGAAACGCGCCGCTCCCCCGGGAGCTGGGGCCCCGAGCATCCCCCAGGCCGGCTCCGTGGCGAGGGAGGCAGGGAGGGCGGCGGACGTGGAGAGGGGCTGGCGACCCGTGGCCGCGCGGGGGCCCTGGCGGCTGCGGCGGGGCGGGCGGGGGGCCGGGCCAGGGCGGCCACGCCCTCCGGGGGCTGGGCGCTGCCGTGCGGAGGGGCAGATCGCGGGACAGAGGCTCGGCCCGCGCCGGACCCTCGGGCTGCAGCAGGGAAACGCCCCTCTGCGCCTAGCTCCGGGGCCTGGTGGCCGGGGTCGGGCGTGCGCCACCTCCCTACGAGGTGTGTATGGGGGGGGACTGTTTGTGACCATCATTGTAGTGGGTGAACCTGGGGTTGAACTTGCCTCACCGGAAACAACGGGTTGAAAGACAGGTTTGAAGCCTGGGGCATGTGCCATAATGCCGGAGGGATAGAGTCGGAATTGATAGAGCTGGAATCAGGTCCTGGCTAAGTGGAGGAAAGGTGAGAGGATCGGCCCCCTCGTGCTTGCATGCAAAGGGGAGGCAGGTTTAGGGTCCCGCCCTCCTGAAATCTAGATGGGCTGTCTGAGCAGTATACACTTGGTCAGTCAACAGTCGGAGATTCTGTGTTCCACTGTAGTTGTGCCAAGGATTGCGAAGCTCATCTGAAAAGGCCCTGACCTCGGGTGTTGAAAAAGTTAACCTTGAATGGAGGATACAGAGGAAAAGGAAAAGTCTGAGGTTTTGCTAGCCTCATTTTTTGCAAAAATTGCAGTGCTAATCTGTGACCAGCTAGGCATTTAATAGCTCTGTATACAACATGAGCACTCCTAATCAAAAAGCAAAGCTAAAATCCAAAATGCTCCAAAATCAACAACTTTTTAAGCTAAGTGTAATACAGGTGGAAAATTCCACACCTGACTTTGTGACCTGTGGCCTGAGTCACAGTCAAATCACACATGCACTAAAAATGTTTTATAAAATTACCATCTGGCTAAGGTATACATGAAACAAATGAATTTTATGTTTAGGCATGAATCTCCTCCTCAGGAAGAAATATTCCAAAATGAAACCCAAAACACTCTGGTCCCAAATATTCCGGATTAGGAGACACTCAGTCTGTGCGTCTCACTGCCTGCCGTGTCTGCCATGGCTGCCTGTTGCCTGACCCTGGGCATAAACTCCCCAGTCTGTGCGGTCCAGGCTCTCCACGTGCCTACCCTAGCTGCATTCCCACCCTTCCTGCCAGGGTACCCATTGCTAAACCAGTCTGAGGTCAGGTGTGGTGGCACATGAAACAGGGCAATCAGGGTAAGTTTGAGGCCAGCCTGGGCTGCTTAGTGAGCTGAAGGCCTGAAGGCCTGCCTGAACTACACAGCATGACCCTGTCTCAAAAAAAAAAGGATATATATATATATATTTGCACTTTGAATCAGACCCTGGCCCCTTCGAGTAGTTCACTAGGTCTCTATCCTGGCTGGACATTAGAATCACCTGAGTAACTATTTAAACCTGCAGTACCCAGGCCCAGCTCCCCACCAGCTTGGAGAGTCACTGCTGAGCCATCTGTACTTAAGCCATTTCAGCTGAGCAGCCTTGGCTTGGCCCTGGGCCACTTGAAAAATGCAGACTCTCCCTAACAGTCCATCAGTTGCTTTTCTGGAATCACAGAGGAGTGAACTCTTGACTACAAGTACTGTTAAGAGTCCCTTTAGGGGCTGGGAATATAGCACAAGCACCTGCCTGGCAAGCACAAGGTCCTGAGTTCGATTCTTAGTACCTGCCCCCCAAAAAGTCCCTTAAAAGCTGAATGTGATGGTGCATGCTTGTAATCCCAGCACTCTGAGAGGCTGAGGCAGAGGATCTCAAGTTAGAGCCAAACCTGGACAATTCAGCAAGACCCTTCCTCAAAATAAAAATAAAAATCTGAGATGTAGCTCAGTGCAAAGACCCTGGGTTCAATCTGCTGATTAAAAAAAAATCTTTTAAAACTAGATCTGATGGCATATAGATATAAACCCAGCACTCAAGATGCTGAGGCTGGAGGATCCTGAGTTCAAGGGCCAGTCTAACTTACACAGTGAAACTTTGTCTAAAAAATAAACAGCCAAGCAGGGGGCCATAGGGCTATAATCTCAGCCCTTTGGGGGAGGATGAGTCAGGAGGATCGATGTGAGTTCAAGAACACTGGGGGATACACAGCAAGACTAAAGAAAAGAAAAGAAAACTAATAAACAAGTCCTTCTGGTGGCTGGGGCTGGCGGAGATACACTCCCCTAACATGTCCATGGACAGGATCTGGGTTCTATTCCAGGTACCGCATAACGAACAAATATACACAAAAAGTGTTCTTTAAAACAGAATGGCACAGCTAGAGGTGTAGCTCAGTAGTGGAGAATTTGCCCAGTATGCATGAGACCCTAGATTTCATCCCAGCACTGCGGAAAAACAAAAATAAGACTTGATAATTAATACAGAAAAATGTCACTAAAAGTCAAGTGTGCTGGTGCATGCTTGTAATCCCAGCACTCTGGGATACCAAAGCAGGGTGACTGTAAATTGGAGGCCAACCCGAATCAAAAATGAAATCAGAGTGCCAAGGGAGGTGGCTCAGTGTTAGGGTGTTTGCCTGGTGCATAAATTCAATTCAAAGAGGAAATTAAGTTTAAAGGAGATAAAATACTGGCTTTCCATAGGCCAGCTTCAGGCCTCATACCTGATGTTGTGACCTGGTCCAGGATGGGACAGCTGGTCTGGCGTCATCCTGCAACCCAGAATTCTCTGGAGCAACCTGAGGACAGCCTGTGTGCCAGCCAGCCTGGACTTGAGCAACCTGAGCCTATCGGCATCCATACATTTCAACACCTAGAGACCCACCCCATACATTCCAGCTGCACGCAACTGATCTGTGGCTGTCAAGTTCTGAGTTCTGTCCATCTCATCCCTGCAACCCTGAGAGCTCAGGAGGTATTGCTCACCCCTAGCTGAGACATAAAGAAACTGGATGAAAAGGATGTGTCTTGACCGCGACCAGCAGACCACCCATCAGTGGGCGAGCTGGCTTTGACTGTAGTCCTGGGTTACTGTCAGAGGAGAACTTTGTCCTCCAGCTCACTTGGCCCAAATCAGGACGTGCGAGGCCCTGTGACTCATTCCCAGAAAGCACCCGAAGCGCTTTCTTTTCCATTGCCCAATGTAGTCTTGATAAAAACCATGCTCCACGAGTAAGTAGTGACTGAACTTCTCCCACACAAGTTCCCCAACAACTTTAGGTCTAGATCCATTTCCCTAATTGTAATTGAAAATTGAACCCAACAAGTGGAATATGAAAATTTTGGTAGTTAAATATAGTCAGTGTCAAAATGTCTAGACCGCTGGCCATCAAGCCCCCACTCTCCTCTCTAGCTGTGACCCTTGAGTAATTTATTTTACGTCTCCAAACTTCATGTTCCTTATCAGTAAAAGATAATGATAGCAGTATTGCTATTATAAAGTAGAATAATAAACAAGGGCTGGGCGTGGTGGTACATGCCAGTACATAGGAGACCGAGCCTAGGGATCACAAGTTTGAGGTTAACCCAGGCATCTAGAAAATTCAAGGCCAGCCTGGGCTACATAGTGAGACCCTGAGTCACAAAAGAAGAAAGAGCTGGGTGTGGTGGCACACTCATGTACGCCTGTCATCCCAACACTCAGGAGGCTGAGACAGGAGGGTTGCTGTAAGTTTGAGGCCTGCCTGGGCTACATAGTAAGTTCAGGGGCAACCAGAACTATATAGTGAGACTCCCAAGAGAAAGAGAGAGAGAAACAAAGGAAGGAAGGAATAGAAATGAGGCTCTGTGTGGTGGTGTGTACCTGTAATTCCAGTTACTCTGGAGGCTGAGGCAGGAGGATCACAAGTTCAAGGTCAGTATGGACAAGTTAGTGGAACCCTTTCTCCAAACAAAGGCATTACAGAGGGGCATTAAAAGAGCAATCAATTACTAAACTTGTAATCTGTTTCGAAAAAATGCACATTAAGTATTGAAATATTAGTAACTATTATGGTCTGTCTATTTTAGCCACCCAATGATTAATTATCTAATGCGTCTTTTTGAACTAACATTTCCAGGGCCGTAGTAGAAGAGAAAACTCTTGCATGTTTGGAGAGAAGAAAGAGGAGGAGGAAGGAAAACAGATGTAACAGAATCAGGATGTTCTATGCACAGGCACCAGCTCCACACAGCAAATGTGTGTGCGTCCTGCAAGCATGTTCTACAAAAATCAAATTAAAATCATTTTAATCGGGGTGCCAAAGTTTATAAAGCAAATTTTTTCTGTTTTCTCCAGGACCCCAAACCAAGAGACAAATCCCTTCTCTACCCCGTCTTGTCTCTTCCCTTCCACTGTTCTTCTATGATCCGTTGAACTTTTATGTGAATCTATAATTATTGAACTTTTTTTCTGATAATAAAGTCTTATTGTTCAGATTCTCAGTAACTCAGAAAGGGGATGGTTTCAAATTTCCATTTCTTCCTCTTGAAGCCAAACAAGGAGTCTTACAAAGAGTGGGCCTTCTGTGCTTCCTGAGTCATTTTGTATAGACTACTGAGAGCCTCTTTCTATTTAGTTTTTGGTTGTTTTAAAGTTACTCTAGAAATTCTTGTTATAATGTCCAGTTTAACCTGTATATTCCCGAAGAGCAGACCTTAGTTTCTTAATTGGCTATAATTTTAAATTATGTAATGCAAAACTATTTTTCTTTTCTTCTGTGTGTGGGAGAGAGAAAGAGAGAGAGAGAGAGAGAGAGAGAGAGAGACTCACTCTATAATTCAGGATGAGTTTAAACTATGGAGCCCAAGCTGGCCTCGAACTCAGGTCAATCCCCTGCCTCAAATTGCTGAATGCTGAGATTTCAGGTGTGCATCACCACATCCAGCTTGGATATTTCTGTTCTGCTCCAAACAACTTTATCTACCTTCCTGTCACCTGGGGGTGGTGGAAAAACCTAAGGGTTAAAGTTGTTTAGAATGGTGAACACAGTTGGCCGTGGTGGTATATACCAGTGCACCTAACACTGAGAGAGGCTGAGGAAGGAGGGCCACCC